TGGTCTCAAACTCACATAGATCTGCCTGCCTCTGCCTCCCAAGTGCTGGGTTTAAAAGTGTGTACCGCCACCGCCCAGCAAGTATGACTTTCTTAATCAGAATCATGTCATCTTTTCCCCCCTCCTATCAGTTTCTCCAGCTAAAACCAGTCCTGTAGGATATTCACATACACAAGGTCTAACACCGGCGCTGTTTATCAGTGCCTGGTTTGTTCCGTCAAGGAATATGAAGCAAGCCAAATACGTGCCCAACTCTCTGCCAGACAACAGGGCCACAATCAGGAACAAAACCAGATAGTAAAAGCTCTGCCCCCAGACACAGCTGAAGGAATCTGACATAGGTAGCAATGCACAGCTTGGTCCTGAGGATTAACAGAAAGCTCCCTGCTCTAAGAGGAGGAACTAGATCTGAGCAGCCAGTAGTACTTCAGGTGCAGAAGAGGGAAGAGGGAAGGACTCTTGGACAGTAACTTTTAAATTGAGACTCTGAGGATGGTTAAGGCTACAACAAAGGGTGTAAAGTGTCCCATGTGGTTGGGAATGGTGGGTGGTAGGCAACAGTATGACATTCAGGAACAGAGCAATAACAATTTCACTGTTAGGAACATAGAACAGTAGGAGGAACAATTGAGCAGAGAATGAAGTTATGTTGGAGAGAGGAGTGCCAGTCTCAATCCCTCCTCCAAGTGTATTAAGGAAGACAAATTAGAATAGATGAAGGAGTACAGGGAGGCAGCTTTGTACACTGTATATGCGTTTCTTGTGAGGCAACAAATTAAAAAAAATCATGTATTATAATCTGATATAGCTAAAACATCTAAATGAATTGAGGAGATGCTATCAGCTTTCAAAATAAATAATATGAAATCATTTAAAATGTTGTTGATTAAGGAGAGAGAACAACACAGGCACAGGACTTAAGTGACTAACGGCATCTAGTCACGGGTGTGCCCATTTACAGTGTGCATGTGCTTCAGTGTGAAAGAACAATGAGGTTTGGTGGTGTATTTGTTGAATGACCAATAAAAACTACTTGCTGAAGCTTTGTATGAATTCTCTCTAGATGTTCAAAAGACCTTATTAAAAGGCAAAGTAGAGTAAGTGTTTCAAACTAACAGAAATTACAGTGTAGATTCCTGTCACAATGCACAGCAAAGAAAAACTAATTGGAATGCAATTCAGATACTGAAACAAGATTTGTATATTCATTCTGCATTTAGAATGGTAGATGGAAGTTTCTGTCCTGCTCAATCCTGCAGTCTTTCTGTCCCAAAGAAACACACAGAGGATTATGTTAATCATAAACTGTTTAGTCTTTTAGCTCAGACTTATTATTAACTAGCTCCTACAACTTAAATTAACTGATAATTCTTGTCTCTGTTTAGCCATTGGGCCTGGTGCAGCATTGCTCAGTGTAGCATTCTCAACTTGCTTTCTTTGTGTCTGGTGGGTGACTGACTCTACGCCTTTCCTCTCCCCAGAATTCTCTTAGTATGGTCATATGGCCTATAGTTCCCAGTTGGCTACTGACCAATCAGCATTTTATTAAAATAATACAAGTAACAAATCTTTACAGTGTACAAGAGCATTATCTTGTACACTCACATAGAATCTCAATGAAACTTGTAAAGTTTGAGTTAATTATTTGCCATATCAGCAATGAAGAATTTTCCCCGTGCACTATAACAGATTGATTTTACTAGCCGTGAAAAGTTAAATGATCAAGGATTATTATTCCTTGGGAATATTTCCTAAACCATTGTGTGTTCTTCTTTCTCATTTTCTGGTTTTCTTTTGTTTTTCGGAACTGGTGATATAAAATGCCTGTGAGATATTGTCTAGTCTACTGAGGGGATATTATGATGCCAATTAACTGACATATGAGCAGTATTTAAATACCCAGCTTCGAAGTGAGCAACTCCACTGCCAAGTGTGGCAGTATTTATGGCTAAAATGTTAAAAATACATGATGAGTGTAAAAGTTGTAGGTCATTTTTTGTATACCCATTAAGATGGTTCTATTTCAGAATAGAGAGTGATTTCTGTTGTGGTTGGATTGGGAATAAGAAAACAGCTGTGCCCATTACAGCTGGGCTCGGAGACTCTTGGTGAGACTGTGAGGAAGGTTTATGTGATTGTTTGTTTGTTGTAGTTTTCATTTTTTTTAATCCACAAAGAAACTCTCAAAAAACACAATGGAGATTGCATCCCCCAAAGAGAATGGGTCTGGACTCAATTTACTCCCCTTATCTGTTCTGCACTTAGACAGACTTTTACTACCACTCACTTTATTGTTTGATTTCTCTAGATCATGCTTAATGGAATTCTGTTCATTGCAAATGTGTTAAGTGAGTCTTACATTAAAAGCAAAACAAAATTAAAAAAGCATTCAAAAGGCAAAGAAAGAGGAAAGAGAGAAGAAAGAAAGAAAGAAAGAAAGAAAGAAAGAAAGAAAGAAAGAAAGGAAAAAAGAAAGGAAAAGAAAACAATTTTACACAGTGGAATTAGGGGGAAAACATTTTTGGATTACTTAAAAGACCAGAAATAGGAAAAATACTGTAGAAATGTGTACTTTAAAAAGACCAGTGATGGTGTGGTGGTGCTATCCTTTAATGCAAACATTTAGAAGGCTGAGGAAGGTAGATCTCTGTGAATTCTAGGACAGCTTGGTCAAGAAAGAGAAGGAAGAGGATGGGGAGGAAGAGGGAGAGGAAAAATAAGAAGAAGAACAAGAAGAAGAAGAAGGAGAAGAAGAAGAAGAAGAAGAAGAAGAAGAAGAAGAAGAAGAAGAAGAAGAAGAAGAAGAAGAAGAAGAAGAAGAGAAGAATGAAGGAAGGAAGGAAAAGAAAGAGAGAGAGAGAAAGAAAGGAAGGAAGGAAGAAAGAAGAAACTAATAAGTATAAAAAATTTTATCTGAGAATATTTTAAAAATAATATTTTGGAAAAATCATTAAGCAAAATTATGAATGTTACTAAATGTTTTGGATGAAAACTGCATTTTGAAGACAACAATTGGAAGGAATATAAATGAATCATTTTTCTGTTTATAAAATAATCTTATAATCATTTAAATTAGTTTTAAACTATTTTACTAACATTTTGCTTCTCAAATCTTGAAATAATTTCGTTAAGTTTACTATGCTATTCAGCTGCTATAATTCTTGGTAACAAAAGGAAGACAATGAAATGTTTTTCTTTCAGAAAAAGTAAATCACATAAACGCAAATTTGGAATGTTCAAGATTCAGCCTCTTACAGCAAGAATTTAATTATATTAAAGAACAGATTTGAATTTATGTGGACTTTAAAATATAAAATAAAAATAACAATAGTTTAATTAATTACAAAATCCTTCTTCCAGTGCACATTGACAAATACATTCCACAAGATATAATAAGCATATTGGGTGTGATTTGAAACTTTTTTGAGACAGAATTTCACTAAGTATCCCAAGATGGTATCCAACTTGCAGTCCTCTGCTCACTTCTCTAAAGTGCGAGGGACCACAGCAATGTGTCACCTCAACTAACTGCTTAATTAGTTCTCAATATTAACAATGAACACATATAGAGATGTATGTTCTTTATCATAATTGCTTAGGTTCAGTTTGGATTAAATGGAAGATTCTCTCTCTCTCTCTCTGTGTGTGTGTGTGTGTGTGTGTGTGTATGTACATACATATATCTGGTCTGTCTTGAGCTTTTTTAGATGGCTTTAATATTATCTGAATTAGTGTATGTACAATCTCTGGTATAAACAGAATAGGGCTGATGTTTCGCACTTCCTGATAATGAAGATCAGCATATTTGGAAGGGTAACTTTTTATTTTTACTATATATGTTCTTTCTATGACCCCCCAAATGGACATAACTCTACTGAAACCTATAATTCTTTAAAATATGAGATTTTGCATCTAAAATTACATGAATTTTTCAGTCTTCTACATTTATTATTCATCTACATTATCAAAAATAAAATGTTTCCTAATATCATGAATAAGTCTTGCTATTTATTTATTATGTCAACTGAAGAAATAAATATTGGCTAAAAACACATTGTTATATTACTAAGAATATTTCTTTAAATATTGTATATTATTTATTGCATATATGATACAAAACAAGTATATTACTTTTATATTAAGCCAATGTTGACACTTTTGGAGCTGCCTGAATAAGTAAAAGAATTAGGATCAAGTGATGGCCTAAAAATTATTGGGCTTGAAATATAAAATAAAAGCAGTTGCGAAGATTATGGCTATTAATCATTTTAGTTTTCCCCTGGAAGAATCATCCTCACTTGGATCAAAAGCAAATGCTTTTCGTGTTGTTGGTGAATTTGTTGTATAGAATGGGTGTCTGGAAGTAAGTGTTGCTTTCTGATTTTGTTCTTGCGCAGTATGAAGGGCTCCACAGTAAACCTATCAAGCTTTTCTGACACTTTGATACAACCTCTTTAGTATTCAATATATGATCTTACTCTGCAGATCTTCATTACCAAATAATATATTATAGTATATAAAGCATGTGGGTATCCACATAGGACCTACATAATCTTACTAACTCTTAACCTTGAGATAGACTATTTTGTATGTAACCTCCAGTAACTGTCACAAAAATGAATAGACATGTTTAAATTTAAAAACTATTTATATAATATATGACTTTATGTAGAGTAGAAATTAAAAGCCCTGACAGAATTAGACTGTGCTTCAAATGTTCAATAAAACATTTACTGTGTCCAAGATTAAATCATACATTGTTTAAAATTAATTATTCCTTTTTAATTGCATTATATAAACAGAAAATGACCTGTTAATTTAAAGAAAATCTATCAGCACAAAATGAATTCACTCACATAAACAAGCAAGATGAACTTGACCTTGTTTGAACTTGTTTTGATGTGGCCCAGATGGTAGGCTCCATGCTTGAATAGCAGCCTAAAGCTGAGGAAAAACTCATATAGCAAGATCTAGATTTATAGCCTTCTGCGAATTCCTACCTTGTATTGTCCTTTCAGCATCTGTTCTTCCGCCGCTGCGGTCAGCTTCTATCTCTGGGGTCAGGGAGTCTAAAACCACAGAGACACAAGAATGACATATATTTCATTTGATTCCTGCTGTCTTGAGAAACAAGAGCTACCTGCAGAATTAAAACCATGTAAATCTTTGTCATCTTTCGAAGGTTTGACATAACTGTAACCATCAGAATTTTCAGAAGGTGTGATTAGATAAGTGACACAATATTGTCCATGTGACAGGTTGGAGTAGGAAGTTCTTAGATTAACCTTTTATCGTTTTTCTGTAGAAATGGATTTCGTTAAGTGGAAAAGCAGCATCAGGTCCCAGATACTGAGAATAAATTACAAAATGGTTGAAGCACCTATGAAATAAAGCATTTGCTGAAGGATTCATGAGACCTAGATGCACACACACCCCACAAGCACATGTCCACATTGTCCCTATGCTATTACAAATCAAAGCTGCTTATGAAAAAACAAATGCATGTTCTTACCATTTAAGACCCTGAGACCGTCTGCTGAAGCTGCTTGTTTCAGCGTCTGCTCTGCTTGCTCACGGCGTTTGGTCTCAAATTCCAGAGCTTCCTGCAGTTTTCTCTTCGCTTTCTTTTCCTTCTTTAGCCTCTTTTGGACGATGGCTAGAAAAGAGATCTGAAGATTAATTTTCAGACTGTTTCTAATGCTGCTGATTGACAAACAGTGGATAATCCTTATTATACTGATTTCTCCTTAATAAGCAGAGCCTGTTTACAAGGAGAAAGTCTTGTAGTCTGCTACAAGTAGGAAACCCTCCAGTCCCAACTTCACCTAAAATAATATCCAAGAAAATGTTAATAAAAGTCAGCACTTTATTCTAGCTTTAAATGATTCCAGGAATGACTTGAATTGTCCAGTGGAGAGATATTTAATGGGGTTCCGACTTTAGTGAATATTTGTGTTCATTCATAAAGGAAGCTTGGCTAAGTGAAGTTTGTGGCTTAATCTCTGCCCTTGAACCAGATCATTGCAGAGTCCACTAAATAGTGTATGCTTTTGTATGTATCTCTCCTGGACTCAGGAAGTAGTGCCTCCACAAATGCTGTGGAAACAAACAAACAAACAACACCAATTAGATTTTTTATAATTATTCCTTTAGATTTTAGAAAATATGGACTATTACTTGTATATGAGGAACAACATACTTCTGTTATATATATATATATACAGAAGCAGTAATTTCTTTTAATAATGATATTATATTTTTATGAGAATGATTCCTTCCTAACAAATGTGTAACACTTTATGATATTTTAAGAATTCATGTTACAGTTTCATTTTGCTGGAATTACAACGGATATAAAACCTCACTTGAAGTTATAACATGCTACTGATAAAAAATGTTTTGTATAAAAGATAAATAATGAGATAGAACTTAGGTGAGGTATATTTTCTCCAACTAGAAGATTCCAATAGTGGTGCCAATGTTAATCAATAATAATAACACTATACATGATAAAAGCGTACATTCATAGACTTAAACTGGTTTTACTCTGTCTACACCCGAGTAAGATAGAAAGCAGTAAGTATTGTGGTGGCGAGTGTAAGTTCTTTGAAATTCTCTTTCTGAATTTTCAAAGCACATATTTGATTATAGCACTATTCAAAAATTCATTTTTTTACTTATAAAGAGCAACCACTCTAAGTTTCTTGCTACCCATAAAAGAACAATGGTTTGACTTAATTTCATATTTCACCAGAATATAAACTTAGGAAAAATATTCTTGCAATTGATTAATTTCAGTTTCTAATTCCCACATGCCCCAAATGTATCATCACTAGCCTCACTTAGAGGGCAGTTTATTAACCTGTTGAGTTTATTGTTTCTACATCATATTATCTCAAATCATTTTACCCCCAATGGGCAATGACTATATTCTTATGTGAGAAATAATTGACACTAATTTTTTTTTCACTTTTTTACAAGTCAGTTTTACTTAAATCAGGACTGTCCAACAAAACATTGTTAGTCACTCATGATCTGAATTTTGGGGTATGAATTGAATTACAGTACACATTAAAAGTCATGAGACATTTGTTTCGTAATAAATAAGGCAGTGGAGTTACTCCTTAGCAGCCTTTTTAAGATAAGCTATTAGGTCCGCCCTCTCTCTCTTCTTCTTAATTCCAGCGAAGATCGTTTTTGCTCCAGGGATGTACTTTTTGGGATTCTCCAAATACTTCATCAGGGTGTCCTCTCCCCAGGTGATGCCTTTGTTCTTGTTGGCATCTGTGTACGAGAATCCAGCCGCCTGACCTGTCTTCCTCCCAAACAGACCCGTGGAGGTTTGGTCCAGTCTTATGCTTGCCTCCCTTTTCCACAGTGTGTCACTGGGCACACTTCTGAACAAAAATCTTCTTGCCTTTCTCAACATCACCCATTCTTAATTCACTTCCGGGTGATCAACACCACTAACGCTGCTGCGACCCGAAGACGGATGTCCCACTCTCTCTAATTGACACTAATTTGAAATCAACGCTAATTTCCTCTTTTTTAAGAGTAATTTTATTATTGTAATCTTATCTTATATTTTCGTTTCTAAATATTATTTAATATTTATCTGTGAAAAAATATGATAGTTTTGAAATATGTTTATAAATTGCACATGATCATAATCCCTAATACCTGGATACACAGCACCCAGCCTTTGACCACTCAATTTCCTCCTGCATGATTCCAGGACATGAGACTAAATCAGTTGTTCGCAGGATAATACACTTCTTCAGCAAATATATTTGTAGTAGGTAAATATGGATAACTATTACTTTCAACTAATTATTGGAAGCTAGTTAAATGGGAGGTTCAAGGTGTCATGTGCACATGCTTTGATCTCTACCGGGTAAAGGAATAAAACTGAAGAAAACCTTGCCATTAGAATCATTTAACTCCAAAGATTATTCTAGAAATCCCAAGATATATCTTTTAGTCTTTATGTGTCTTCTTCAGACTAAAACAAAATAGAAGCATGGCTATTTCATAAAAGGTGCTTCCACAGATTCAACTTGCTTCTCAAACTTCCTCATTCATTTTGAACTCATCTGTCACCAATGTTTACCATGCTTGAATTATTTTAATTCTTAAATTTATGCAAATTCATATTGTTTAAAACGTATATGCTGTGTGACAGTGCCTCAAACAAAGCTGAATCCAGAAACACACTAGGTACTGATTCATAATATCTACTGAAGCAACCTGGATAATCCTAAAACAGACACAATAATCTTTAAATGAACACATCAAACATGAAAGCAGTTGAAGAACTTCTATGGAATACTTATAAAATTAAGAAATTAAATTCCCCCATTTTACAGTTCTTGTGAAATCATGTGGCTAAAGCAAAGGAGGGATTGGTTGTAGTCTTAAAATTCATGCATAAAATAAATATACAAATATATTGACCTTCAAAATTATCTATTGATGACCAGTATAATATTTTAAAAGAAGCAATTTGGAGATCAATAATACTATTATTTTTATCCAATAAGAATTTATCTTGGTAAGTACTTTATGGACTTGACCTTGTTGAATGAACATGAAGCATTCAGAAGGAAAATTATACAAACACTTAACTCCGGTTATTTGCTCAGATATTCATCAAGCTTTCATTTCAGTTGATAAATATCTTACCAAACCTGCTTTGCTTGAATAATCAGTCTTTTCTAGTTTAGCTTTATAACTTTAACTTTTGAGGTTTTCAAAGGACAATTGTGAGTGAGAGCAATATTCTTCATCATGGTTCTCATCTTATCAGAGTTCATTCTCATCTTAAAGTATATTAATTCATTAAACTTTATAAGCAATGAAAATCATATAATCAATGACATAATAGATATGTCTGTTTCCCTGAGGTAGAAAACAGAAGAGAATGTGCTCGTTAAACATTCAGAAATACAATAAACTCATGATTCAAGTCTATTCTAAGTTCCGTTACACTCAAAGTAGCAAAAATGAAAGTATATCACCAACAGAACAATATTATTTTGCTGACTAATTCACTTAAATGTTAGACCTCTGTGGATTTTCAGAGATACCTCTGTTTTTTTGTTCCATGGCCAACTGCTTCTCCAGTGTCTCTCTTAGCTCTCTTTCCCTTAAGAAATCCATCTTCAGTTCTGTTTTTTCCAGTTGGACCTGTTTCTCTTGAGCTCTGGCATTATCTATGGCAACTTTCAAGAGGCCCTGTACAAAGAAGGCATTCAGCATGAGGATACTGCGGCACAAAACACATTTTGTTCATTACTGAAATGTATTTTCGATGAGAAGAGAATTGTCAAATTCTTTAACTCCTGTGAAACCATCCAGGAGTCACAAATCCTACAACTAAAACACAAAACTTCTACATCTTATAAAACTATTTTAGAAAGACAAATACTTACGGCATCTAGGTTCTATTGCTTCAAATTAGACTAGCTAGATAAATTTCAGTGAAAGTCACACTAAAGCATCCTATGAAATACGAATGGACAAAGGAAATGGGCAGTTCTACAAAGAACCATCTAGCATGGTCGATGTGATCCTGGTAAGCTGCCACTGTCCCCAAGCGCATCCACCCATTCCCTTGCAAGGTTGCACTTTCTACAGCTGTTTTATGTGTGTTTCCAATTCAGCTATCTATGTCTGCTGAAGGAAGTGTGCTCTTTCAGTCTGCTTAGTTCCATGGCTCACAGCCTCATTTGACTTCATATGGCACAAAGTAACCATTCGTGAGGTGATTCCGCTTGCCATCTAATCAGAAATAGCCCTACATGTAGATGATACTGTTAGATCTTCTTAACCATTGTCATTGCATTCATTGTTATGTAATATGATTAGATATCGATGCATTAACTGCCTTATATCATGCATCTTCCACTGTAATGTATTTTTTTGAGAAAAGCAGGAATATTTGTTATTATTAAGCATTCTGTAACCAAACCATGCCTTTAATTTTAAAATATATAAATATTGAGAAATTAAAATTATCACTCTTATATATACCTGAGATACATAACATATTTAAAGCATCTAGAGCAACATATTAGCAATCAATTATTTTTACTATGTACTGCAAAGTATTGTAATAATCTGGAAATAACATTTACAAATTCATTTCACAGGCATATTACTCAAATCTTTAGGAGAAAAACATAACTTACTTATCCTTACAACTGATTTTATTGATATGTACTTCTCTTCATGTATAATTGCATAAAGTTTTGCAGTTCCTTCAGATTTTGAAAATAAAACGTGAGAACATAGTATGCTTACAAAAAAAAAAATCACATGGGCTTTGCCAGAGAAGATGCTCAGAACCAAAGATGTCACGTTAAATTCAAGTTAAAAATTCTATCACCGTAAGTTTAGCAATACAAAATGTTGTATTCAAAATGTAAAGTGTTTTGTCATAGTCTGCGAATGTGTCAATCTGAAATTTGCCATTGGAATTTGATGAGGAGTGGAATTTAATGCCAGTGCTAGAGGTTCTCAGAAAGGCAACCTTTTTAAAAAGTCAATGAGGATACTTCGACTCAGAAATTCCCCATAGCCACACTGTTGAATATCTTGTGTAGCACCATAGAACCTTCATCTGGCGATGGATGGAGATAGAGACAGTGACCCACATTGGAGCACTGGACTTAGCTCCCTAGGTCCAAATGAGGAGCAGAAGGAGGGAGAATATGAGCAAGGAAGTCAGGATCATGAGGGTTGCGTCCACCCACTGAGACGATGGGACTGATCTAATGGGAGCTCACCAAGGCCAGCTGGACTGGGAGTGATGGAGCATGTGATCAAACTGGACTCTCTGAATGTGGCTGGCAATGAGGGCTGACTGAGAAGCCAAGGACAATGGCACTGGGTTTTTATTCTAGTGCATGGACTGACTTTTGTGGGAGCCTGGTTTGTTGGGATGCTCATCTTTATAGATCTGGATGGAAAGGGGAGGACCTTGGACTTCCCACGGGGCAGGGAACCCTGACTGCTCTTCAGACTAGAGCGGGAGGGGGAGGTGGGGAGGGGGAGGGAAAAGGGAGGAGGGGAGGAGGTGGTAATTTTTAATAAAGAAAGAAAGAAAGGAAGGAAGGAAGGAAGGAAGGAAGGAAGGAAGGAAGGAAGGAAGGAAGGAAGGAAGGAAGGAAGGATGAAAGAAAGAAATTCCAACTCCAGATTGACGTGAAGCCCAATAGAAGAGAGGTAGTCTGCATCCAGCAGGACAGCATAACTTTCAACACTGTCATAGGCCATTTTAATTATCTTTTCATTTATATATAAATTATTTTCTGTGTGTTTTATCTAATCTAGAATTTCCTGGCACAATTCTTGTGACAGAAAACAAGCAAGAAAAGGGTTTCTGGGCAGCAGCTCTCCCGTCCCCACTCTTTTGTTGTTTAGTAATAAAACACAGCTTCTAAGGAAACTGCCATCTTAACCAAATTCAGCAACATTCCTGTATATGTTTCTTCTGCATCAGGAACAAACAATTAGTAACAAATGAAAGAGATCATTACATCAAGTGCCCTTTCAGATCACCCCAATTAAAACTTTAGTTTAGCTGTATTTTAATTCTGAGATACCAAATTCTAATTTTCTGCTCTGATTGCTCTTGTTGACTTCTCTTTGAAAGATGTACTGTCTGTGCACTGCCTAGAGATTATTTAGCAAGATGCCAATGTTGGCACCACTTAATGTGTTGATTGGTTGTATTATCAGTAGCTGTTTAAAATAAATTACTATTAAACTATTATTGTCCTTGGGTGACAAAACATAATATTTTGGTGTTCTTAAATATGGAACAATCATTATGAACAGACATGTTGAATGATGTTAAGATCTGACTCTAAACTGTGTCATCTTATTATTAATAACAGTTTGCAAATGATGAAGTTGCTGGAAGAATTGACATTTACTCTCTCCTTTTGTTGCAGTTATTGGTAATGTAGTTAATGGTGTTGAATTGCATATTACTGCTGATTATGTCTGAAAAGCATTAACTTTTAGAATTTTATGCCTCTAGAGACTATGTATCAGCTATAAAGAATTAAATTTAAAATTTAGACTTAAATCAATGCACACCACTAAGATACCAGTGTGGACAAAGGTCTACACTAGAACAAAAGATACAAATGCAAAAGTATGTTTTTGCCAGTGACACGGAACAATAAATAAAATGGACACAGAATATTCATTTAAATGTAGCGCAGCCAGAGGCTGGGTAAAAGCAACAACAAGAACTGTCCACACCATCTATAAATCATGAAGACATCTTTTAGCTATCAGTCACAATACTCCCAGATTTGTGTAACGTCTGTTAATTTTCCATGTATGTCGTGTGCAAAAGATCACAGTAATTATGTGGTAGTGCTCAGAAGGACCTTATCTGCACAGCGCCCTGACAACAGTTGGATTATATTTAAGAGGCTAAAGTTTCAATCATTTTTTTCCCCCTCTAAGGGGTTTTCAGATCTCACAATACTGATGTTGGGTAATCACTCTAAAGAAATACAGTTGATGTTTATTCTGAGCACAGCCATGCCAAAAAAAAAAAAAGACAATGGTTAGTGTGTTCATGCTCAGATTTGTTTTCAATGAAGCATGATGTTTCTAATCACACACAAATTCTTATCAGCTGAAATATTTTTTTTTATTTTTTTTTCAGAGCATAAGCCTCCACATAAGGTTGAAGAGCCAGGTGCCTCTGTTTGAGTCTACTAGCCTAGCAGTGGTACAAAACATTGAAGCTTAAAAGAAAGGTCCAGAAGACTCAGGTTCCAGAGGCTTCCCCAAGATCTTAGTCCAGACAGAACTGCAGTACCATAATTTAAAAAATAAATAAGTAAAATTCCTTTTAGTATTTCCCTCTTTGCAGAATAAGAATAAACTGTATCCCTTGAAACCCAGACTTTCACATACAGGAAGAAAAAAAAAAGGCCAGTATCAAGTGCTGAGCTTTGACAATGCTTTTAAAACTGTACTCTCTACGGTTACACAGTTTCGTAAAGCTGATGAATGACATGCTTCCTATGAAACATCTTCTCTGTGTCTAAGCCTACCTTGTAAGTCATGTGTGCTAATAGTGAGTCCCTCAGTACTTGGAAGTCACTATGTTACCGTATCTGCTTCAATAGACTTATATGCAAAGCCAGCAAACACAGAGCTTAAGAAGATTCATTGTACAGAACTGGGCATGATGAGATGATGGCATAGAGGGTGTAGGCACTGTCAATCAAGCCTAATGAATTGAGATCAGTTTCTGGGACTCACCACAGTGTGGAAGGAGAGAACCAATTGTATGTAAGGTCTCTACTGACCTCCACACATGAACCATGACAACCCCCTACTTTAACCAGTGCCACATGTACAAAATAAATATAAATATTTTTAAAATGTATAGAACCATAGCAATTAGCACAGTAAATTTATTTACTGTAAAGTCATGCTCTGATTGCTCCTGGAAATAATATTCACCAAATAAGGGACATAGTCCATGATATGTTTTAATCATCACAGTTGGCTGAGTTTAGAATCCTAGGTATAGATTAGTATTTTGCTCCTTAGTTTTTTGTTAGTTTTTTTTTTTTTCGAACTTTCATAGGGACAAAAAGAAAACATCCAAGTCTCATTATATAATAGCAATCAAGAACCAAGCGTGTGAAATAATAACAATATATGCAATTATAACCTATGTGTGTTTTGAATTCAATGTGATTTTCTAGATAATTTTAAATTTTATACCAGTAATGAATATCAGCAAGAAGCTCATATCTTTTACAGTGTCTGAAAAGTAGAGTAAGACATTTGCCAGGACATTGTGATTCAGGTTTGAGGATGGACTAGGGGAGGTTTTAATCTCAATACTGAGGCAGATTGTCTCTTTGTATTTCCTCTCAAACAAATGGAAGCTACCTCTCAAATGCCGTAGTTGCATTGTATTGACTTGTTACACCATGCTCAACATGGTACTGTCTTTTTGTATTCTTTACTCTCTCTTTCAGGTTTTCCTACTTTTGTAAACTTTTGGTTTAGTTGCGATACTTTTAGCAAGACTGAAATATTGAACATAAGGCCCTGAATATTCTAGATAAGCTGACTTCCTACAGCTGAACCAACGCCACTTCACTTGGCACACAAATCACAATGATCCCACCTTCTATCACATATATTTTATTGTAAGTATCTCTAAGGATAGTTTCATGCATAATTAACATTTTCTGTTTTTATTTTATAATCACTGAGTCAGACCATCCAGATGCTTTGTGTACTTGTTTGTGTAGCTTCTTTTTAAAATTTCTGTTACTTTTACATCTGTTCTAACCAAATCTTCTCCTCCCTGGACTCGTCCTAGCAACACCAACCCACCTTATCCACTGTCCTCCACTGTTTGTTGTCAGTTTCAGGCAGGCATCCGATTTCCCTGAGCAGCCCTGGCTGTCCTGGAACTCACTATGTAGACCAGAATATCCTTGAATCCAGAGATCTGTCCGTAAATTTACCATATTCGTTCTTTTTTCTTGCAACTTTGACATATTAACTTACTCTTACTCTACTATTTGTAAGCCACAAATGTCCTTACCCACTGAGTTGCCTCACTAGACTCAGTTCTATTTATTTTACAGTGAATTTGCTCTCTCGCTGTATATCCTGGCTCTAGGGTAAACAAACACAAACAAGTGTAACGCTGTCAGTTCTGAAAGCTATTGTTTTTGTGATTTAGGATGTAAGTACTGGTTACAACTAGTGAGTAGAACCCTATTTTGAATGTAATCTATTGGCAGACAATATCTGAAGGTGTCACTTTCAAATATTTGTCCCTAAAACATTTCCTCACATTAAACTGCCCAGTGACCTATCCAAGGACATCAGTGAAGGTGAAGGTTATGGCGAAATACTTCCATACAGAATGTAACAAAATGCCATGCAAAAACACAAGTTCTAGGAACAACAACAGCAGAAAAGGAATGAAATTTTATTGCCCCCTGAAAATTAATAACTGTTATTTATTCCGGATGTTTTCATTATCAATTTAATTTTAATTTTAATCAATTTAATTTAATTTAAATCAATTTAAACTAGTCAAGTGACATGAAGGAAACGTCATAACTCTTCTAGGTTTGACATCCTCAAAATATTAATAAAAATATTTTTAAACTAGTGTTTAATTTTTTGGATGTAAATATAACATTTTCCATAAGTTGTATGATAGCAATTATGAAAATAATTTTTTAAATGATTTTGTGTAGGAAATATATATAGTAGTCACCACAAATCTAGTTATTAAAAATTTTCAACTAATACTATATTATAAAATCATTTGTTTTTAAAACAATAATGTATTAAATACTATTTTGGATTTGGGGAAATGAATTTTAATAGCAACAAATTATTTTCTAAGTAACCATAGAGCTTTAAACTGACTACATGAGTATGCTACAGTTTGGGCAGAAAAAGCAGAGAACCCAATTATACATACTTGAAATTGCAGGTGAAATTGATGTAGGCAGATTGTAATTATCTAAATTAAAATTTAGACAGCAAACACATTCATATTCTATGCCTAATAAGCCAGGGTCATGACTGTATAAACAGGTCAAGCAGTTTATAGGATTTCTTAGATATAACCATAACTCAATAAATGTGGAAATAATAAGATTTAACATCTACGGCATTTTACAAACTATTGTGAAATCACGAAAAAATCAGTATATATATATATGATCATCAATATGTATTTGTGTGCATATATCTCTAAGGGACTCAGTTATTTTCTTAAGCTTAGTCTTATTTTATGTATACATATGTATAAAAGGAAATATGTAATATTCATAGTTATATAACACTTATGTCTACACATGTATGCATATGTATAAAATTGTGTAAACAAGTATAATTCTTAATGGTGAATTTATTATTGATGGTCTAACTTTATTCGAACCAGATTCCAATCAATAAAACCTTAAAATCAATAATTTTATTTGGTTTGCTTATCAATGTACTGTTAACTCTTCTAAGATACATCCTTGGTGTACATATTTGGGAAGGAGACCAGATCTAGAGTAGGTTAAATAAACAGAAAACTTGTCTGAAATGTGGACATTTTTTTTCTTTTTTATTTCTAAAAGAAATACTTAGTTTGAAATGGCGGGGATAGCATGCCTAGCCTAAATACTCCAAGCGGAGAGGGATGATGTAATACTCCCAAACTGTCAGTATTTGACATAGAACTATTAATGTCAGCCCAGTTCTCAGGCCCAGTGTATAACCATTCCTCTGCTGAGTGAGCTGACTTTGAGTAAAAAATAAAAATTAAAAAAAATTCTAGAATATTTTTATATGGAAATTCAAGTCAAAATATCACTAGTCTGACTACAAATTTCTAAGACAATTTCATATGAAGTTTTACGTGGAATAATATGAACCTTTCTAATTCTTATGTTATTAGTTCCTTGAGGATTTTGATGTATTTTAATCATATCCACCTCCTTTCCTCACTCTTCCCAGACCTACCCATTTATATACACACCCAACCTTGTCTTTCCATACTGTCTCTGTTTCTCACTGTTTCCCTGTCCTTTTGTTTTGCTTCGTGTCTTTGTGTCTCTCTTTCTGTCTATCTGTCCCCATCTCTCTTCTTATCAATCATGATCCGTGCTGTTTATATACTCTTGGATATGTGTTCTTAACTGGGTCATCATCGACTTAGCAGGGTCGTACCGTTTACTCCTGGAGCTTCTAATGGACAGTTCTCCAGGAAGGAGGAGACTCTGCACCTGCTTCTCTTTCTATGCTGAGATTTTTGTTTGCCTTGAGCTTGAATAGATTGTGAGCAAGATGTCTAGTCTGCTGTGAGTTCATATGTGTAGCCTCCGTACCTTGTTTTGAAAATACTATTTCCTGACAGCCATCAGCTATCTATGGTGCTTACCAACTCTAAGCTCCTTTTCCACAATGGTCCCTAAGACTTGGTGGGAATGGATAAGATCTTTTGATAAACTCTCAATCTCTGATCCCAGGCCAGTTGTCCTATTCCCCTGCTTTTCAAAAGCATTTTCTGCAACATGAGTAAAATTCACTATGATCTGTACCTTGCAATATAGGTAAAATTTGGGGGGAAAACTCCTGTGTTTACTTTTGGCAGTATTCTGGTCATGACTGAAATGAGACTGGACTGGGGACTTATTTCAGTCAGTAAAATACAAAACCTTAAGGTTGAATACAGTTCTGGCAATTCTAATTACATTTGTATTTAAAAAGCCGTATTAATAGATGAGAAGATATGTTACATTCAAGACCTCCTGTTATATCCTTGGAGAGGTAAATAAAATTAATTACATTTCAGCTAGGTCAAAGTTTAATATGGTAGGAAATGTGTTTAGAAAATATAAGTGAGAATGGAGTGCTGGGCTAACAGCCTCTGTATCTTGTGTCTCCTTCTGGCTCCTCCTGAGAAGTAGAAGGAAAAGTTCCATCTGGGGCCCACATGATCCCTCCATGCATGGCAGGACAACTATGCTTTCTTCTATCCCAAACACTTTTATTATCTTGGCTCCCTGCGCTGTGTTATTGTTAACTCCAAGTATTTTTGATTCATAATGCACTGTACGTAAGATATACATCCTGAGGGACACATAGGAAATCTGCGGAAACTTTTCTATGGCTTTTTGAAGTCTATTCTTTGAAGAGTCCCTACTTGCTGAAAGAAACTCATTTATGAAAAAAGAAATTCTTTTGGATTCTTCTTTATTAGAAATATTTAAAATGACTAAACATCTCATTTCCTCACTGGAAAGTCAGCAGTTTAAAAATATCTAAATATTTATTAGAACTTGCATGCTGTCATTTGATAAACCAGACAAATTTACACACTTAAATTGGTCCCATTATTTGGTAATAAAGAGAACATTTAGGGGGGAATGTTTTTCATAAATGCTTACACCAGTTTTGTTTATTTTTAATATGGTGAAATACAAACTATTTGTTGAGCATTTCTACAACAATCTGGTTAGTGTACAAAAGTTAAAACGTAATTTTTCTGGAGAAATGTCTAATACTATGGATCAGCCAATATCACGAGATAATTATTTAAAATGTATTTCCTTTAGAAAAGCAGTACACCTGTGTGTGTCTCGTTTTCCTTTCTTGCAGAGTGAGAAGAGCCATACCTGTATGTTAGTGAGAAGGGTCTCTATGGAAGACAGGCCATCGGGAAATAAGAAGGGAGACGGGAAGCCTGGAGGCAGTGGTTGCCCATGCCCAGTTAGAGAAAGTTTGTCGATGCTGTCTCTTGCGGTTGGTGTAGAAAGCGGGGTCTCATCTGTATGTGATTGAAACAAAAATATAGAACAAGTTACGCTTGTCTGTTTTTATTAGACCTCAGTAATGGCTTCCCTAGTGGTTTCCAGAACATTTATTGCAAATTGGTTCCCGCTATCAGGAGAAAATGCTTTCTGCTGAATTTTCTTTAATGAAAAAGCTGTGGAGATACAACAAGATAACATTAATGAGTAACTTTATAAGCCTTTTAAATGCAGTCTCTAATGAGACTGAGTTTACAGTGCCATAGAATCTTTTTAAAACAAATATTATCTCATATATAGTTGTGATAATATATTCAGGCTGACTTTATGGGCACCTTCCCAATTATCTCATTTTAGTTTGTTCTGTTTGGATTGACAATAGAGTATTTCTAAAGCTTTCTATAAGAGAAATGTTTTGTATATCAGGATGTTTCTTTCTCAATTAACCCTTCCTTTATATTGATGGTTCATTCAAATGTAGTCTTAATAAGCTTAACAAAGAATCTACAAGTGAAACCTCTTTTTTCTTGTCTTTCATTTTTTTTCTTTTTCTTTTCCTTTTGTAACATCTAAAGGGGAAGAATAGAATCCGAGAATATTGTTTCTAAGTTACAATTAAAATAATCACTCTCATTAGCTAAAAACCTAATTTTAAACACTTAAACACCTAAAGCTTTCACACATAAAAAGGGAACTGAAGAAAAAACATTAAAAATGTAACTTCCATCACAGCCTTATGGAAATCATATTACCCCTTTCAGGTAAGTTATTATTTATTTCTTTGATTCCAGTCTTCAACAGTTAAGCCACTTAATATCTGAGCACAAGCACTCTTTCATTGTAAAAAGTTTTTATTTAACTCCTTAATATTTAAACATTTGCCTACTTTTCAATGAAATGGAAGCAAGTTGTGGCTTCTTCATAAATAAAATGTTACTCAGGCTAGTACTCTCTATTTTATAAATATTTTTCATATCTCACCCCAGGAAAACTCATCAGCACAAAGTTTTTGATTCCTTCTTACAGTATCTCTCAATTCTACAAGTGGCTAAAATTTTGAGCATACTTAACTTTTGCTCATAATTTGATTCCACTGTTCTCAGTCATTCCTTTATTTTACAATACCACACTTAAACACAACACATTTTCCAATCCTGCCTGTCTAGTGTGGAAACAGTATGGAAGGCGCCACACCTATTGTCAGAACCTTCTAAACCGTATCCCTCACCTTCCCCATTTTTAGTCAATGAAGTAAACAGGATGAAAAGGTGGGGAGAGAGGTAAGAGACAAAAGATGTCCTATTCACTTTCCTCCTGTCACACTCTCCCGTAATTTCTCCTTCCACTGCCTCTGTGAAATCGCTGACGGATGAGTTCAAGCAGCATGTACTAGAAGAAGAAACAGGAAGCAACTAAGCAGGGACTCATAATGCTGTATTTTATCACAGCTTTTACGTGGGGTGGAGAAACGCTTCGGGGCTCAGGTAGGGCTGCAGCAGGGCTAATATGAGCAGGGTAATTTTGGACACCATTTACCAAGCTGTCATAAATTACTTCTCTAGACCAAGGCTGCTACTGTTTTCTCATAAGAGCTCTGGAAAGGCACTTGCTAAACATCTATGTGCATGTGTCATTGTTTAAGAATGGAGAGCAATATTTTTTGATCTGTTTCACCTTAGCTGTCACATGGTAAAGAAAATACACCTTAATAGATCATGGAGATAATAATTGCTTGTCTTTTGAATAAAGGGATAGAACCTAATGACCATCTGAGCGTGCATTCACCTTAGCATCTGTGACTTCGTAATTTTGAAAGACTCTGCAAAAAATGAAAGCCAAATGTATTTATGAACACATTTGAGCATATCTTTTATCACTAAATAATTATTTGTTTTAACTTCAGTGCATTGATGGTTGACTATGCTTGGCAGGTGAGAAACAAATCATTAAATCACTATCATGCCTACATTCATGCACTGTTAATTGTTGAAATAATGGACATGATAATAGGGGTGGAAAAAATGTACCAGGGTAAAAGCATTATAAAGCTGATGTAGACCAGAGTGACCGATTCCAGGTGATAAATAACTAATTCTTATAGCTGGTAAAGCACTTTACCTCCTATTGTTATTTCATTAGCCACTGCTCATCCAGTGAATGATTAACACTCTTCTGTGTGTATGTGCAAGCATGTGTGTGCATACATATTCTCTTTCTCATTGCATCTAATATCATGTATGAGAACAGACTATCATTTGCTATAAAGTTGGGTCACAACAACTTAAAATGAAAAGAAATGGAAATTGAAAGAAATGTTAACTACAACCTCTTCTTTAATTAAGAAATAGAAAGCTAAAAGATCAAATAAATGAAAATTATTTATTTGGACCTCAGTATGCTCTTATCTGAGTAGACACTGTTACTTCTCAGCAATCAACAGCATAAAAGCCTACTTTATTTCCTCCTGCATGCATTGTAAAACTAAGCCTTAATCATATTCACTTTTTAAATAAAGTGACCTTGATATCTGAAATATTCTTGGAATATTAAGGCAAAATTTTGAGACCAGACAGTGTTGGAGTCTGGGCATCACAAACATCTCCATTGACTTCAAAGTGTAAAGGAAGAAGCAGCACACACTCACAGATCTGATTTCCACTTTATATACCTTCAAAGGGTCTCAGAAACTATCTTCAGAAGACAAATATCTGGTCAGATTTGGGGATTTTTGTATTGTGCCATATGACATCAGGTTTTAGCATCTGATTATCCGTGAACAGAAATTAGTAGAGTTGTGCAAGGAACTCCATTTTATTCCCACAGTGACTTGAAAGGTGATCATCAAACACATGGCCATATTTGTACACACTCACAGAGAGAATGTGTGTGTGTGTGTGTGTGTGTGTGTGTGTGTGAGAGAGAGAGAGAGAGAGAGAGAGAGAGAGAGAGAGGGAGGGAGAGACTGTAGAAAAGGGAGGTGATGTGACCAGAGGCAGGTACTAACACAGTGCAGTCACAGCAGTTAGGTACGCAACACATGCCAGACGAAACCAGCACGCTAGTTACCTATTAAGTTGTTATATTTAAATTCTAAAAAGAAGTTATTAACTTTTAAGCATTATTCTACTTTAATTTAGTTACAAGGAACTGTAGTAATTCCTGAAGGAAAATGGAATGGCACATGCTACAGTTTAATAAGTAATTTCATCTTAATGCCCAGAAAAATTACTGATTGAAATCTGAATAATTACACAATAAATATGCTGACAATTTCACCATTATTTAATCAAGATAATAGAAATTTAAAGTACAAATGGAGAAGACAAAACACTTCAGTTGCATAACAACGGGTGAGGACATCGTGTTTCAGTGTCCCTTATCACCTGAACTCAGGATTCTACTAGCCCATTAAGTCGCTTTTTAGTAAGCGGCCATCAGGAAGATTGATGTCTCTGAAAGACAAGTCTCTTTCCTCTTCAATCTTATCACACAGAACAATTTAGCAGGATATCCTAAGGAACAATGTTGTTTTTAAAAAAATAATGGTCCCCTACTTTTAAAATGTTTTCTTTCCTGCTAATAAAATCTAACACGGTTGTTATTTTCATAACTGTTCCCTTTGGGTTTGAATTACACATTCTCTCGTGTGTGTGTGTGTGTGTGTGTGTGTGTGTGTGTGTGTGTGCGCGCGCGCATGCACGCACATTGCTCTGTAATGTCTTTTATTATTACTACTAAATTGCTCTTTCCAAGCTAAAGAAAGGATGTTTGAAAGAAAACTATCACTAAAATGGCAAAGAAGGTGGGGGAAAAGGGCTGAAAAATATTATACAGAATATAGGACTTCCCGTTTAGAAGTAAATAATTTTTTATACAAATATAAACTTTTCTTGGTTGTTTTAGTAAATTTCTATCAGAAGCCAAAGTATTCAACAGAAGTATTACTGACCTAAAACAGGAGCATGAATAACCTAAAAATTAACATTAGTGCTCAGATAAAGAATTAAAAATTATACCCAGACGTGCAATCTAAACAGGATAGATGAGAAGAGTTTGTTAGATTCCTCAAGTGCTGGCGTTAGGACAGGTTGTCTGCTGTCCAATGTTAGCGCTGTGCTGGGAACAGAAGGAGTTGAACCAGGGTCTCCATAAAAGCTGTGTTCTCTTAACTACCACATCATCACTCCAGTCCTACACAACAGATTTTCTAAATAAAGGATATCTCAATTATATATATTATATAGCTAAATTTAAATAAAGAGAAAAACATTGCTAAACTTAGTGAATTCTGATCCTGGTGATACCTATTCTATTAAAGGCTGGAGTGATAAAACTACCTTATATCATTTGAAAAACATTTCGCTAATTCTTAATAAGGATTAACGAAACTCAAAGGATTATACTTTAATCCAATTAGATTATATATGGAAAATGCTTTATAGAATACAAAGAGCAGTATACATATGAAAAATAAAATCCATAAATTTCCCTTGATAGTCATTTTTCTTTAATGTGCATTGAAAAGCTCCATCTTTTCATCATTTGCTGTGGTACCTATCTTCTGCCTATGTAATAAGCCCTTGATAATGACGCATTATGTTGACAGTTTTCATTGGCATAGACTGAGGACAGTACAAAAACACCAGAAAACTTTTGAATATGCTGCAATCAGGATTAGAATTTGGGAGTTCAAATTATGGAAAAAATAAATTAATAAGGTTGTCTCAGTGAGGGGCATGAGTGGTAAAGTACATCATTTGTAAGTACAAGAACCATGTCTAGGCCTCAGAACCTAACTAAAATTTGGATATGTTAGAAACTGCTTGCAATCCTAGTGCTGAGGAATCAGAGATGAGAGGACTTTAGGACCCAGGGACTGGTAGCCCAGTCTACATATTGAGTTGTAAGTCAGGACATTTAAAGACCCTGACTCAAAATTAAGTTAGACAGTAGCTGAGGAATTACATCCAAGTTTAACTTGTGGCCTCAACATATATAAGCACAGATTTGCACCTGA